AGTATATCTGCTATTTATTCTTTTTATTTTCATCCCTGTAGTCATGAAACAGTGCAGATTTAGAATTAAACCACTAAAATATTAAACTTTTGCAGTCTTGATGTTGTTGTTGGATGGTAGTCTTTTAATGGCATGCTCTCTCTCCCTCTCTCTCTCTTTTTAATACTGTTTTAACAGTTCTAACAGTTCTATTTTGCAGTGTAAATGGGCTGGGTATTGGGGAGGGTGGTGGTGGTGGCGGCGCGGGGGGGTGGTGATTGTTGTTGGATGGTAGTCTTTTAATGGCATGCTCTCTCTCCCTCTCTCTCTCTTTTTAATACTGTTTTAACAGTTCTAACAGTGCTATTCTGCAGTGTAAATGGGCTGGGTATTGGGGAGGGTGGTGGTGGTGGCGGCGCGGGGGGGTGGTGTATTAGTGGCTGCCTGGTTTATAAATTATAATAAGAGAGTCTTGTTCCTTCGCTGTGTAGTGAGCTCTACAGCAAGTCTTGTGTACTTGCTAAGGGCAGAGGTGGGAGGTGGGAGTGGGGTAGCCCTTGCTGACTGCTGTCTCTGGTTTTGTACTGCCTGACATTGCTTTTAGAAGGAACACGTGTCTTTCACACCTACAATTGTGGTATGGCAGTGTTGAAACTTGACTCTTGTGTCAAGACGCAGCCTTCCCAGTTGCAAGGCACACACATATTCCTGCGGCTGGTCCTAATATCACTGCTACTCCAATAGCCATTGCCGGTAGCTTGCCCCTCTAACATTTTATTGCAAACGATAACCTAATTAACAACAACAACAACAACAACAAAAGTTGATTTAGACCGAGCAGATAGAAAACCAAGTTGCCTATAGCAACAATATTCCAGCTGTCAGCGTTCCAGGGCTGGCTAAAATATGACATATGGAATCCGATTTGTTGCAACGCAGTCTTCTGACCCGCAGTATTAAAATCTGCCTTGTTTCTGATGTTAGGGACCACTTTTTTGTTTTGTTATAGCTTCAAACGTGTTAGTTAAAGTGAATCTGTCACCGGCAAAGTTCAACTTCTGAAGGGAATTTATCAAAACTGGAGCAAATTCTGGAGCAGCTGTGCACGGCGATCAATCGGCTTCTATCTCTCAATTTTAAACCTTAACTGAACAGACTGATGATAGATGCTGATTGGTTGCCATGCGCAGTTGCTCCAGAATTTGTCTGCTCCAGTTTTGATCAATTCCCCCCAGTGTGTGTAGAAACCAGTTTTAATGATTAGTTAAATGCCGCAGTTATTGAAAAATAAGCAGTGGAGAATTCAGGTTTAAAATCCCAGCTCGAATTTGGAAAACCTCCAAATTTTGTCTTATGTTGTAACATTCTTCAAGAAAGTGACTCACTTAGTGGAAATGTGTCACTTTGTCTCAGTGAAATGGCCGAGCTCTCTGATGTCGGTGACAGATTCTCTTTAGCTAAGTACTGCTTAGTTGCAGGTCAAAGAGAAGGTGTGATACTCCAACGTATTTTAAGAATAAAAATAATTTCACAAACGTATACCTTATATTTATAAATACTCATTTGTGCCTGAGCAGCTGATTGCTAGACATTTCTAATCAAACTAACTCCATGTGCACTTTTTTTTATATGGAGGGCCTGGGTTAAAAGCTCTTTGACTGTGACCCATTGGTCATTAGTAGAACATGGTGACTGGATTACAATCATCTAATTTGCAGAAAAAATAGTGAAGTAAATTGTGCAAAGTTCCTGTTGACTGGAAGTTGGCAGTCTGGCAACCACCAGTGACTAGGGATGCACCGATACCAAGTACCTTACTCGGTACAAGTACAAGTACAGATACTTTTCGAGCTCCAAGACCAAACTAGGGAAAAATTCAAAAGTTAGGGGGCAGCTGTCATTTGTAAGGAGCACACTGAGCTCCTGGGATTTGTCTATCTCTGTTTTAATGTACGATTTTGTTTTTATAAACATATTGTATATAAAGGGATGCACCAATACCATTTTTGCAAGTACAAGTACTGATACATTTTTGTTTATTGTCATGTGACAGTTTTTCTGAAACAATGCAGACTAATGATTTCAGGACAGTGGTGGAGCGCCAGAGCTAGGTCCCAGCTGCAACCGCTACAACCCTGGTAGTTCTCATGAAAATGCTAAGTATCGGCGCTGGTATCTGAAAAGCATCGGTGCATCCCTACCAGTGACCCACAGACCTAAGACTGTGAGTCACAGGACTTAATAACCAACATAAAAACTACAAATCTTGGTCAACAAAACATCCATACAAAGTCAGATCTGTTTAGATTAGAGGTAGGTGGCAACCTCAGAACTCCAGCGGTTGTGGAACTACAAGTCCAGTGAGGCATTGCAAAACTTGGACAGCCACAGGCATGGCTCCCAGAGGCAGGGTCATGGTGGAAGTAGAAGCTACACTACAGCTGGAGAACTGAGATTGCAACCACTGGTTTTATATGACAACTGGCCTGTGTGTGGACTAGTATGTTTTTGCAGGGACAGATATCCATCCTGAGAACTGGCTAGGGATGGAAGATGCAGTCCCAGATTACTGTGTGTTCACTCTTAATATGACCACTTCCATTATCTTCCTCAAGGTATGGGCCCTTGGCACCATAGCTGTCAGATACAACCATCATTAGGTATGGCCAAATCTGTTTCATCTTCCTGCAGTTTAGAAGTTGCACTGTCTAGCAGTCTCCGAGTATAGAGAGCTTTGGTGGCTTCCAGAAACCTTCACAGTGGTGTGCAAATCAACAATACCTTCCATCTAGGTGGGCGAACATCAGAGTTTGCTGTGAAAGTATCATATAGTAATCCCCTTAGGCAAAGGCCTCTTTATCTGATGTTTGATTAATAACAGGGAAGCAATGAATAGAAGGACACCTTAAGCTGTCACCTCATTGTAAAGCTATTATGTAAAGTCAACACTAACACCTACGTTACAAAAGATCAAGAGATGCACAATACAGTACACACGGTCAGGTGATATGTACTAAATCATAGTAATTGGAAGTGGCAAGGCAGTCACGGGACCCAGATTTTTCTTATTCTCCTAAAAGAGAGCAATTCGTGTTCCTTAAAACAAGCCAGATGCAAAACCGAATGCCTTTTACTGCATTACTTTAGCTCTGTTTATGTAAGTTTGGAAAATATATATACACACACGTGCGCACTCATACACGTTCAACACACAAAGAAAATTCAGCTGGCACTTCGCTTTTCTGAGCCTGTCAGTGGAAAGCACATGTTCCCCAGCAATTGCTTGATGGCTCCAAGATTGAACTGACTGCTTCCTAAATTCTTCATGAATTTGTCCACTCTACATTGTATGTATCTGTTTGATGCCATTGAATGACATATTCATTCTACTAAGTTTTCAGGTGGTGGGGGTCCTCTCCGCACACCTTACAGCAGTTTCGTGGCCGCACAGGGTCCCTTCTTCAAGGCAGTAAACTGCCTTGAAGAAGGGACCCTGTGCAGCCCCGAAACGTCGTCTCTGTTGATTGTAGTGACACAATTGTCCATTAAAAAAGGACATATTTATTCTAAACGAGTGCTGGTGACCTGTTTCTTTTACTTCATATTCATTCAACTAACACACACCATTACTACGTTGCAGGATGCAATTCTTGGCATTGGCAGTTTCTTTTTCTTTCTTTGACGCTTGTTTGACGCTTTGTTTCTAGAGTATTCACATTAGCAATATGTACCTTGCTTTGATCATTCTGTTCTTATTAAGCACATGGCCTGATTTAGATAAAGTGTCTTCATGGAAACTTGTTCTTGTAGCCCATCTCAACAAAATGTTGGCATAAGCATTCCAAGAAAGTTTTTACTTTCTATAATTTCCTTTTGTTCTTCATACTGGTAGAACGAAAGAGACAATCTGGTTCCATTGAGCAACATATATACATGCAACAGGTTGAACTTGATGGACCTGTGTCTTTATTCAACCTCAAATACTATGTAACTATATGTAACTAGCACAGTCATTTCCTCAAGACACTTTGCTGGTTTGAGATACCCACAGATATAACATGGAATGGATGATCCAGTTGCTGAATGATCGTTCCATTGAGTGATTTTGCCATAAAAGTGTGCCATTGTGTTGGCTGTGCGTGCATGTTTGTGCCCTGTGAAGTCAACTGTCCTATAGGCCTCACCTTGGGGAGAAGGAGTGATCACCCGGAAAGTTGAGGGGGGTTTTTTCAGGATAGATGACCCGGGGCTGTCTTCACAGGCTGTAGGTATTCTACAGATGAACACAATCATTCTTCAACTTGAGTTTTATTGGCTGGTTTGGGTTACAAATGTTTATACCCGGGGAGCCATAAGGCTCAAAGTGCCAAGAGCTAAGGTATTTCGTAACTCATATCAGCCAATCATAAGTCAGCCTTAAACTAAAAGCAGATAATGACTGATTGTCAATGTTACGTAGATCATATCCAGGGCTGGATTTCCCACAAGGCCAACCAAGGCCCAGCCTCGGGGCAGCAGCGAGTAGAGGGGCAGCAGGGGTGTAGAATTCCTATCTCCCGATGCTCAGGACATACAATTCTGGGCGCCGGGCGGGTAGTTGTTTTAAATACTAAGCCCTGTTTTGGGCAAGCAGAGCTTAATGT